TTGAGGGTTAATGCTTAATCGCATCAGGCAGGCTACACTACTGCAAGTGGCAACTAATTTCAACCTGAATTGGTGTGATGTTCTACACTAGTAATTGGGTGTTATCAGTTTACACCATTAAAAACTACCTTATTATTTTTAACAGTGTATTATAGTATTATGGCCTATTATAAAGACCATTAGATACATTAGATACCGATTCAACAACAACTTTGTTGTTAAGTGGTAATCATAAAAATTATATATTGATCAATTAATAGGGTGACACAATTAAAGCAGCTATTATATGGGTGTAATTAATGATGCTAAAACAGGTCATGATTAATAAACTACATAAAACAACGTATCTTCACAGTCTGGGCATATATCCCGGACAATACACCATGATATAAGGGTGAATCATACGTTTATGTAATTACAAGAACAACCGCTTGTTGTCGTCTCGTTATGCATTAATTAATACATCTACATTGCATTATATATCGAACTGCCTGGATTTTATTTGTTCAAAAATGATTAAAATGGACTAATCCAAATATATTTTATAGGGGTCATCTTATACACTGTTAGAAATAATAAGGTAGTTTACACCAATTCGAGTGGAAACTAGTTGCCACTTACATAGGGGTTAACTCCTAGTCTTTAGTGGTGTAAACCGATAACACCCAACTAGTGTAGAACATTACACCAATTCAGGCGGAAACTAGTTGCTACTTGCAGTAGTGTAACATGCCTGATGCACTCAGACAGTGTAATGTTACATTTAAATAGTTTACACCCGTGGGTGTAGATTAAGCATTACCCCTCACGGATGTTTTGTAAATTACACTTCCATTTTAATCATTACACCAACGAGGGTGTAATTTGTTTTGCTGGATTTTTATTTCAAGCCAACGACTTTAAAGTTCAGAAAACTTGAAATTGACTATAGGTCAACGACGACATAAAATTGACAAATGTCCATCAGACTGCTTCAAATTCAACTGCTGTGGGGTAATTAGACAATCTGTATTAATTTACAATGAATATAAATTATGAGGAAAAATCAATACACATATTCTTACAATTTAGCTGAATAATGTGGTTTATTCATTTATGCACCCCACCTGAATTAAGAATAATTAATTAAGATATTGTACTTTGTAATATTTTGGAACATTTACACGTCTTTAAGTGTATACAAGCTCGAAGAATCTATACTTGAGGCGTTATGAAATATTATTAAGATTATTATACATGATAATATTCTGAAAGACTTATATTCCTTATGAGTTAACACTCTAGAATGAGTTACAGTTGTGTTACTAATGTAATTAACTCCATATTTTATATAAAAAAAAACCCAACTCAAATTGGAGTACACAAATACTTTTGTAACGCAAGATACGGTGTAAAATTGACACCCTATTCGGAGGAATGTTTCCCTGTTTGTGTAAATGCGATAAAAAAACTTGCAGAGGTGTAACTCATCTCAAACACTCTTTAGCGGCTACAATTACACCTATCCTGGGGCTCAGTACTCATAAATTTCCATTACTCTTTTGCAACCCAATAAACGCTGTAAAATTAACGCTGTTAATTGGTGTAACTGCAGTATAACACTGGTGGTGGTGTCGCCTATGCAAAACACCCCACAATTACACCTATTAAGGTGTTCAGTAATCATGAATATCGGTTACACTTGTTAGGTGTAGCTCTTTTAGTTGGCTACCCTTGCAACAGTATTACATTTTATAACTGCAAGTTGTGGTGTAAAGTTTACACTTAATTAACACCAGGCCCGTACCTAGTGCAAAATTGTTGGGGGGGGGGGGGGGCAAGGGATTCAGGGGGCGCCTATGTACCTACACTTGACGGTCCAGGGCGAACGGTACCCTGGACACCGTTGAGGCGCCATAAAAACAAGTGACATTGGTTGGGCGCCCCGCCAGTCTCGTTGTGGGTGCCCATGCTGAAATGGGCACGTTGGTCGTTGGTTTCGTATTGCGTCCAAAGGCGCTGAATTTAACAGGGGGGGGGGGGGGCACCCCCTTGCCCCCCTCCCCCTACCCCGCTAGCTATGGGCCTGATTAACACTGCTTATAGTTTTTAATTACCCCCATTTTTAACAGTGTACCTTCACATTACCCTTTATTGGTTATACTGCACTATCTTCATTGTTAGTTTGTAATTTTCCTCTAAATGAAATCCAAGTGTAAATTAATATTTAAATATATTATCAATAAATATCGTTGGTAAAATTACAACTATCATCTATTCTGTTTATAATTAGTCACTTTGTAATGATACTACGGTTGACATTTTAGTATTTTTGACAAAAAATAAATTCCATCTCTTGTATATACCTATCTGTGTTAAATTTAACCAATTAAATGCATGTAAAATAATTAAACATTGTCTATTGATGTAATAAAAAACCCTGTAATGTGTGGAATCGTGTTGCATTAATCTTTATATGTACATGTATAAGGAAAAGATGTTTATTATTAAGAACACCCGAAAAATATCGTAGACAATTAGTATGCTTTCTGTGTAGGCGAAAACTTATGGAAGAATAACGTTGTCATTATCCCTTCAATGTTCACGGTTCCCTTTATAATACTTGATTATGAAGGGATTCTAAAATGAAGGGATTCTAAAATGTATTACTGAAAAGTGTAGTCTATATTTTATTTTAACACTGCGACATTGGTATTGTGGGCAATGGAAATTGCAAATTATAAAACTAAGATAAGTATCTTGAACTACTGACATGATTTTGGACCGTGAACAATGAAGTTATAATGGTAACGAATTTGTACTGAATTTATTATGGATTAAAGCATTTTGTCTGGAGCCGACATTTTTCGGGCAGACAATCTTCACGAAATCTTGCTTATACTGGTATATTGAAACACACACTTATAATAATACCCAAGTATATTTGAAAGATAAGAAATAAATTTCATTTCAATGCTGGTCTGACAATGGTTGCTATTACCATTCTGTCTGGTCAAATTCTAAAATTCATAGGCGTACGGGCCAGGGGGGCGGGGGGCAGCTGCCCCGCTAACTTTCGGGCAATTTGACTTTTCGGACAGACGGGTCAAGTGAAAAAAAGTTCATCTAGTTAGCAAAATAAAACGCCTGAAATCTAATAAAACACTAATTAAAATGTACTTTTCTTTTAATTGAATACTATACCACGAATTTGTACTGAATTGACTATGGACTAAAACATTTTGTCTGGAGTGACTCTACTTTGTGCGACATTTTCGGGCATCGATTATTATTTGTGAATGCAGCTGCAACAGTCTGATTGGATGGTTGGAATTCAGGTCGGCACAGAGTGGGATATCGGTTGCAGCTCGATTGGAAATTTGAAGTTGCTTAATTCACGGGCTAGAATTGCAGAAAAAACGCATTTGCGGCGGTTACATTTTCAAAATTTTCTCGTGGAGCGCAAGTCCCCCATATATTGAAGACCATAACAACCATGCATAATTTCTTCTTTTCGCCCCCCCCCCTTCAAAACACGAAAGTCAAAATCTGGACGAACTTTCTCGACCAATGCAGGGATCGAACCCGACCCCCAGGATAGCGAGCCAGCGACTTAACCACTTAGCCACTGTGACCCCTCAAAAAGAGAGAGGGAGAGAGAGAGAGAGAGAGAGAGAGACTTGAATCAATGACAGATCTTGTGATTTCACGCGCACGCGTTAAAACCACAAACCCTCATGTAAAACGGATTTCATAAGTTGTATATTGTATATATACCGGTACGGGATAATTGTTTTATAATAGACCTACATAATAAATTAAATTGTTGTAAATTTGAGGGGGGGTTTATCAGATATTTTTGGCAGATAAAATATTCCAGTTAGCGGAGAAAAAATATGAACAATTTTTTCAAATAAAAATTTATTATCCATTTTGGCGGAAAAACAAATGAAAGCCAGTGTGAACCCTGATGGTACGTATTCAAATGCCATGGCATCTGGCAAATTGAGACTATAACCACTTCCGAGGCGAAACTCGAAACGTCGCCAGTACGACAGCAAGCCAAAATGATAGGTCGCTAATAGCGCGTGTGTTTATTTCCTAATTTCTACTTTTCGAGTTGCATTATGGCCTGGTATGCGTGTTGGCACCTTCTTACTGAGATCAATAAATACAAAAATATGACTAAGTCGAAAGTCAACAAGACGGTACACAAGCCAAAATGCAAGTCGAAAATAAGAAATTAGAAAAAAACGAGGGGCGCTATTATCGCGGTGCAATATTCCTTAATTTCCTATTTTCGAGTCGATTTTGGCTTGTATAGCGTGCTGTCGCCTCACATTTTGTCGTAACGTTTACTTTTCGACTTTCGTGTTTTGAAGGGGCGAAAAGTAGAAATTAAGAATTGCAGTTACAGGCTTCTATACCCACACCCGGCGACGATTGATAGGTTGATTTGGCTTTCAGGTAAGTCACCTAAGGTAGGCTATATTGAACTACATTGAAGTTGATGTATTAACGGGCTGGAATAGCAGGAACACGTATTTGCGGCAGTTAATTAATTTCGAAACATTCATCGAGCTAGTACGCCTTAATGCATCACAGGACCATTTTATGTTTAAATTTATGTGATATTTCTAGATTTAAAAGTCACGTCATAATCCAAATGTATAAGTAATGAATTTATTTATCGTTGATGTTATACCTATGTATACAATTTCACACACCGTCTTCTTTATAATATTATATTATTATTATTGGCCTACTTATTCAACAAGGACGTTAAATATCTATTTTATTGTACATGTGTGACGGCGTTTAGGAGAATAAAAGGTCTGACTATTCATTTTATTCGTGCAAACCAGGGAGGTGTTACACAGGAATAGAAGATGTTAATGCGACCGTCAAACTTTCTAAATTTTCTTCTTGTGGGGAGGGGGTGGGGGCGTCATATACGTCGGGCATTTTAGGTTCTGCCCTATTCATCGAGCCCGTACGCCTATGGTGTTGCATAATATTACCTGGTGATTTGAATTTCATCTTTTAATAAAAGTTCATTAGCCCCAAACCATAAATTGTTCAGCTGGTCTTGGCCGAGTAAGTACCTCGAGAGTTTCCAGCATGGTTACGGCCTTGTCAATGGCGCAGGAAAGAGGACCGTACAAGGATGGAATTCAAAAAAAGGAGACCATAACGCTGCTGCATTCGCAAAATTTCTCTCACAACACACTGGGCGTTAAACATCATTTCATGTCATTTCCGAAACATATAAAACATATGAACTAATATGACCTGATTATCCTTACTGCTACAGGGAATCGAAAGTAAAACCAAACATCTTTTGTAACTTTAAATAAAATAGAAAATAAAACATAATACAGTAAGAGTTCAGTTAATTTCATTTCAAACATGATACTTTAAAGTATAATTATTTATTTACTATACGTCTTCTCTTCTGAAATAAAAAATATTTATGAAAGTAACAGCAAATAATCACTAAAGAGATTAGATAGCTAACAAATATATCAACTAGCATATAAATATTTTGATCTAACTAATGTTCCATAGAGAGCGTAATATTGAAACCAGAGGAATGAACCAATATTGATCAAACATTAATTCTCAATAAAGTAAACCTGTGTCTATTTACATCGAAATAAAATTAGAGATTGGGACCATATATGAAACAATTGGCGACATTGGGTTAAACATGTTACTAATGGCGATATATATGTGATTTTTTATCCTGTTTTCGATTATCAGCAGTAGTAATACCTGTTTATTGCCTATTTGTCATTAGTATAGTGATTTAATCTGTATTTGATCTACGCTTATACGAGTGGTTGTCTACTTTGGTTACGAGATATATATATACATTTATGCGATCACAAGGTCAATTTTGTTTTCATTTTTATACTAAACGTGCTTGTTATGAATTAAAAATACTTACATATGGATATACTACTTCTGAATTTATTAACATGCTACGTTTCGATACACATACAGATATCGTTATCAAGCAAATAATGATATTTAACACAAATGTGGTGCAATATATAGTTTACAATTGGAAACCATATAACAGATTAATTATTAATATGTCTATATGTCTTACAAGGATTTTGCTTGTAATGCACTAAAAAACGCGAGGCATTATCGTAATGAACTCATTACAGTGTGTTATGTGTGGTTTAATGGTCGAGAGCGAGACATTAAAGTTACATTATGGGAGATTAGATAAAGAGCTGGGAGTTCTATAATAGTTAAAAGCTAGATAATGTAAAGGGAATTTGCTGAAAATTTCAGTCAAATTGATCCACACTGAATCAAGAATTTAGCGATTGAATTTTCGGCCTAGCCTCGATAATCATTACTGAAGTCAGTAAGATAAAACATATAGTCTCGATTATCCATTTCATGATTAAATCATGAATAAAAATTGAGCAGCAAATCGGATCCTAATCCAGTAAATATCGCAGGCTAGTGATGACATCGAGGGTTGGTTATGGTCTGGATAAGTTTATTAATGTCTTAATAATAATTTAGATAATATTTCAGGCCTGAAGAAAGACTTGCAATAGGAAGATTTAGCTCTAGCATAATGTATATTTAAAGTAACACATTGAAACAACACGTGACGTTGGTCACGAGTGTTATTTCAATATATAACGCAATGTCTTAAGCTCGAGACCATTAAACAACTTAAAATACAGACACTCGCAATGAAATGCGTCACACGGGTCCAATATTTTAACTAGTATAAATAATGTAGTGTATTGTCAGTAAATACAATAAGCGATCCCTTAATTATAATGATATAACAATGAATCATCCCCGATGGTGAAACAAGTTAAATGGAGTCTGGCTATTTTATTGGTTAAATCCAGGCCATCCAGTCCTAGGTTAAATCCGATAGACACTACATTTTGGCGACGAGGAAAATAAAACTTGTGGGGTTGATCACGATGGCAGGTTCGCTTGACAATGTGGGTGAGTTGCCGATATTTGATTGTATCGAATCCGCAGGACTTGCCGCCCGATGGAAACGATGGTTGAGAGCCTTTGAACATTTCGTCGTGGGAAAGGTAGTAACAGATCCCGAACAGAAGAAAGCTTTGTTGTTACACAGAGCGGGAATGAATTTGCAAGACATTTATTTTACCCTGCCGGGGGTTCAAGACGAGGGTGGCGTTTATGCAAAGACGGTGAGAACATGAATGGACATTTTGTACCACAAACAAACGTTCCGTTTGAAAGACATCTGTTTCGAAGCATTTCACAGTTACCGACGGAAATTATAGAACAATTTAACAGTAAACAATTAGAATCTTGTCTATTTGGAGATCTTGGGGCAGTGAACGAGAGAATTAGGGACCACGTGATTGATAAATGCTGTTCCAGCCAACTGAGAAGAAAACTTTTAGAAAGAGGGACAGATTTGACATTGGACCAATTAAGGGAAACTGCTCGAGTTTTTGAGGAAACTGAGAGGCAAATGGGATCAACTGATGGACTTAAATCCGAGATACAAAAGTTGACAGTGAGTGGTAATAAAGGTCAAGGTTATGACAACCCATACAGTGAAAATTCCCATTATGATAGAAGAAATTCGAACAAGTTTAGATGCTATTCATGTTGATACGAGGGACACACCCTGAAAGACCCAAAATGTCCAGCAAGGGGACAACAATGCCGGAAACGTAAGCTAATTGGGCACTTTGAATGTTGTTGCAAGACAAAGCAGTTTAAAAGCAGTGGTAGATCCATTAGAGGGAAAAATGATGGCAATTATAGGAGGCAGTCAATCCGATCACAAACAGATCTAAAACAAATACGTGAAAATGACAAGGACGCAGAATATGCCTTTCATACTGGCCCGAAGGAGAGGTCGTGTGATGCAGAAATTTAACTGAGTATTGGTTGGTGTACCGTTAAGAATGTACATTGATTCGGGAGCATCAGTTAACGTGATAGACAAAAACACTTGTAAATATTTGAAGGCTGAGAAAGTGAAGTGTGTTTTTAAAACGGAATCCAAGAATATATTTCCGTATGGAAGTAGAGAGACTTTGCCAATCGCGGGAACTTTTCGTGCTCAGATATCTCGAGGAGAATTGGAATTAAAAGACGTCGAGTTTATTGTCATCGAGGGCGAAGGCCAAGCTCTCTTTGAAAAGAAAACGGCATTAGAACTTGATGTTTTACGTCTTGGTCCGAGAGTGAATGCAATACAGACAGACACTGCAGGTTTAAAGGTCGAATATGAAGATTGTTTCAAAGGATTTGGGAAACTAAAAGAGTTTCAATTAACGATCCCAATAAAAAAAGATGAAACCACAGTAATTTTTCATTACGACGAGTGCCGTATCATCTTAGAGATCGCCTGGAGAAAAAACTTGATAAACTTGAGAAATTAGACATTATTTAAAAGGTTGATAGTCCGAGTGCCTGGGTTTCATCAGTAGTTGTAGTCCCGAAGGGGCAGGACTACATCAGACTTTGCGTTGATATGAGATTACCAAATAAAGCTGTACAGCGCATAAGACACCCAGTACCAACGATAGAGGAAGTGCTGCAGGATTTGAACCAAAGCAAAATCTTCAGTCGTCTAGACATCAAATGGGCTTATGATCAAATAGAACTCGCATCGGAGTCAAGGGAGATAACTACATTTATCACTCATAAAGGCTTATATCGCTATAAAAGATTGATGTTTGGAATATCCTTTGCATCTGAAATATAGCAGAAAGTGCTTCAACAGATTCTTCAAAGCTGTGAAGGGACGGAGAATATAATGGATGATATTATTGTTCATGCTAAGTCAGACGATGGACATGATCGAAGATTGAAGAAAGTTTTAGACGTTATTCGAAGTATTTGATGGACGATGGACATGATCGAAGATTGAAGAAAGTTTTAGACGTTATTCGAAGTATTTGAATCCCGAAAAATGTTTATTCAAGTTACCTAAGTTGAAATTCATGGGCCATGTATTGTCTGAAAAGGGTTTGGCACCAGCAGATGTAAAAGAACAAAATGGAGGGAACCGAGTAATAAGTTATGCAAGTAAAAGTTTGTCGGATGTATGGTCATGTGAGAGTTTTCACCCTTACCATTATAGGACTAATTTTGAACTTCTAACCGGCCATATACCACTTGAATTTATTTACTCTCCAAAATCGAAACCAAGGGCGAGGATAGAACGTTGGGTTCTACGAAAGTCATACAAGTACGTCGTGAAACACATTCCAGGAAAGAACAATATTGCAGATTGTTTGTCGCGTCTACTAAAGACTGATGGCCCGACGAGTTCTTCCATAGATACAGAAGAATATATCAAATTTGTGGCCATAGAGTCGACACCGGATGTCTTGACAACCAGGGAAGTTTAGATAGCATCAGGAAAAGACCCAGAACTGGGAAATATTCGTCAATGTTTAATGACAGGAAGATGGCACGACACTAGTTATAAACAATATGTTCCAATACGGAATGAACTTTTATCAATTGGAAAACTAGTTCTGAGAGGGACTCGTATAGTTGTTCCTACAGGTTTGAGAGAACAAATTTTGAAGTTGGCACATGAGGGTCATCCGGGAATAGTCAGTATGAAACAGAGGATCCGAATTAAAGTATGGTGGCCAGGAATGGATCGAGAAGCAGAGCAGTACTGGAGAACATGTCATGGATGTCAGTTAGATCAACCGACACCGCCAACACCCATGTCACGAACAGAACTCCCATCGTCTCCTTGGGAACACTTAGCTGCAGATCTGTTAGGTCCATTGCCATCCGGAGAAAAAACATATTTGTAGTGGTAGATTATTACAGTAGATATTTTGAACTGTGGATAACGAAGAACACGACAACAGAGAAAATAGTTACAATGTTCGAAGAAATATTTCTTACTCATGGCTTACCAGTATCGTTGCAGATCGACAACGGACCTCAATTTGTCAGTGACCATTTCAAGAAGTATATGCAGGAAAATGGAATTCAACATAGGAAAACTACACAGTTATGGCCTCAAGCAAACGGAGAAGTGGAAAGACAGAATCGTTCAATTCTAAAGCGTATCAAGATAACACAAGCAGAGAAGAGAGATTGGAAACATGAACTTAATCACTTCTTAATGATGTTTAGGAGCACACCACATTCAACAACAGGAAAATCCCCATCAGAGTTGTTGTTTAGGTGAATTATTAGAACAAAGATACCAGAAATTTCCCAGTTTAATTTGGAAGATACTGAAGTGAGAGATAAAGATAGCGAACAGAAAGGAAAAGGTAAAGAATACAGTGATCAAAGCCGGCGATGGTGTATTAATGAAGTTATGTGAATAAGTGGTCTACACCATTTGCGCCTGATCCTTTTATTGTAAAAGAAAGAAAAGGAAATAGTGCTGAGATTGAATCCAGTGAAGGGGTTCAGTATAAAAGAAATCTTACAGCTGTGAAGAAATTCATGTGTAAATAGTGATAGTATAAATGTGCCTAATGTGAACGTGCCGATTCCATTTAATTCACAAAATGAATATAATAATTCAGATGTGATATCTCGACCGACCGGTTTGAATCAATCAGGAAACGAGTTACATGTACATGTTCCAGAGACTATTATCAATAAGAACATCAACTCCCCAAGACCTGTCAGACAAAAGAAAAAAACAGCAAGATTTAATGACTTTGAAATAGAACGTTAATCATATTTTAGTGTTTTTAAACAGTAGGATTGTTTAGATTAAGGTGTTATCAAGTAATAACTTTATCAGTTTATAACACTATTACATGTATGATTATATGTACATTTGTATAACAACAGTATTAGCTTGTACTAGTCAATTAGGTATAGTAACATTAGTTTCCAGTGTAATATTCATCAGTATTATGAGATAATTATAGTCACATAGTTGAGAGTTTAGTTACCTTGTATACCAGCAGATGATAGGTAACTCATTTGAAACAAAAGTTTAGTAAGAATTTACAGGGTTATTAAACTTGAGTTGTATATGCTTGTGATCAATTTTAGATCTTACTCATTATTGCATAAGTAACCCCATAGTAAATATGGAAATGAAGTAAGGAACTTTGAAACATCTTTGGTAGGGATTTTAATTCTCTTTGTAAGTAAATACTGTTTTGTCAGTAAATACAATAAGCGATCCCTTAATTATGATGATATAACAATGAATTATCCCCGATAGGAAGTGTTAGCCACGTGTGATTTGTATGACGGTAAATAAACAAGTTAAATGAAGTCTGGCTATTTTGTTGGTTAGATCCAGGCCAGCAAATCCTAGGTTAAATCCGATAGACACTACAATGATGATGTCTGTCTGCTGTCTGTTACAAACAGTAGGTATTTTAGAACTATCTTCGGCAACTTTTTTTTTCGGGGCGCGGGTAGGGGGGTGGGGGGTGGGGTGGGGAGGGGACTTTTCCCGAATGACTACGGGGGCGATTCCAATCAATAGTGATGTTGTTATCATGTAAAAATATGGGCTCATGATATCAAATATTTAAGACACCGTGAACAGTTATAAAAGTAGACTACATATCAGTGAGCTAGTTAAATGTCAGACCGTATTCTATATAGACTGGACTAACCAGGCGCGAGCGACTACCATTCATTTTAGACTGCCCGTGATTTCGACGAACAAAACTGATTGAAATTACAATAAAGGTTTTAAAAAAAGAATGTAAATCAGTTTATATACACTCATATTGCATAATGTGCTCATTTTGGCCATAGACAAAGAGCTAAACCATGACGATTTCGGTCAAAATAAAGTATTGGCGCGGGTTTATGTGTATGTGTTATTTCGTTTACTGATGGGGACGGTTTTATACTATTTATTTTTTATTTCGAAAGATTAAGCTAAAGTCGTTTTAAACTAAGTATTTGCTTACTGTGTAGTCAGTGGAACACAAAATCGGCGTTATCTGTATACATGAAAACAGATTCTCATCCGGCCAAAAAAGTCGAGTTACAAAATCCAAAGCAATGGACAATTTTAACAGTGGATTGTGGAACACAAAATCGGCCTCGTCTGTATAGACATAAAAATTTCAACCTAGACAAATTCTCACTCGGCCAAATAAAATAAACATATGACCTTATTTGAAGAGGTCTGGTCATTTCAAAAACTGAATTTTAAATTTCCTGGTATATTTCCATAGTCTTAAGTTATATAACGTTTAGCGCGTGAAGTTCTGCGATGTATGACCCAAAATATTCAGAAAACCTCAAAAAGTCAATTATTATAGATACTTGACACATTCATGCATTTGAACCAACATTTTAATTTCGTTAAATTCTATTTATGTGATAAATAGTGTTGATCGATTTAGAAAATGGCTTTATAACAACTCAGTAATTATGATATTATAAGGCAAAAACAGGGATTTTAGTTGGTAATCCATAGTGTTCATCGGTGTCATTGAGTTTACGTAAGAATGACCATTCCTAATGTAAATATATATTTGTAGGCCTGTTGGGAAGATTTTAGAAAGTAATCCATAGTGTTCATCGGTGTCATTGAGTTAACGTAAGAATACCATTCCTAATGTAAAAATTTGTAGGCCTATTGGGAAGAATTTGTAATACTCTCCATATGTCACTGGTTTACCAATATTTTAATAAACAGTAATCTAAAAAAAAGAAGATATTTCAAATACAAAATATTGTCTTTAATATACAATATATAAATGTATATCTTTCCAGGTTCAAGCCACCTTGCTTTTTAAGAAAAGTTGTTTGCATTTAAGAATACAGCAATACAGCCTTAAATATTTATTTTATGGATTGTATTATGCCTACCTGTTTTGTTAGGGTGGTTGATAATTTAGCACTGTTAACCACGGCAACCACTAGGCGATACACGTGACCATCAGTACTGGTTGCATTATCATTGATGACTGGGAGTGTGGCTGTCGTTGGTTTGATTTGAAAATGGGGATGAAAACAACTGCTGTTCGGAGTACAATAACAGTCGGGTCCTCTAATCGAATTAGAATATTTTATATCACATTCGTCTACAGACTACAATTTAAAAATGAAACAGATAACATGAATTGAAAATAACGATTGAACAATTATAACTTGCCCATTATAACAATCCAAAAAAACCATATTTATAATTTATGTTTTTGATCAGGAATATTATGATGCGCCTGAAACATCACAGTAGTTGTGTTTTTAAATGTGGTATCACTTGATATTATTATCATTGTTCGAAAAACAAGTCACCCAACAAACTGACCGTAGTGGCACCTTGAACTGGAATTTGGTCAGATCCTAACTCTGTGTTGGTTTGGTTATCAAATATTATCCATTTCACCGATTCTAAACCACTATGATAATCAGTGACTACCCACTCCATACTACAATGAACAATACAGTATAGGATAACATGTTATGTTTTATTAAATTGCACTCTCGATTCCTACGTATAAATAATTCCTGCAAAATAATCAGCTTCAGAACCCGCCATACCGAAATACAACAGAAGTAGGTTAGCTAAAATAAAATTTAAAAAAACACGCAATCATGAGGATTCCTAAATATAATAAACGTTCTGGTGAATATGCTGTCTCCGTCAGAGCTGCTAAAATGTGGAATGATCTTCCAAAAACTCTTCGAGAGTCCTCTTCCATCCAAAGCTTTAAGACTAACTTAAAAACATATTTATTTCAAAAATGTTTTTGAACTGTTTTGTTGTGAATGCGCTTAGAAACACTCTAAGAAGCGCTATATAAATTGAACAATAATAATAATAATAATAATCATAATAATCTGATTAAAACACAGATCCTATTTCGTTTCATTTTTTGTAGTTCAAAATTTCGTTTTACTTGTCTTTACTAGACTAGGATGTGGAAGCGTTCTGTATGATGTGAGGGATTAGCCAATGGAACGGTCTGTTACGGGGAGTTTTAAGCGTGAGGTGCACGTAACTGAGTAACACACTAGAAACATCAACGGTGGTTGGCTAATCAAATATCTGACGTCATAGGGTCAAAAGCCTCTGACGCGACCTTCCACTATCTTCATATAGAAAGTGTCAGAAAAAAGGGAAATATAGATCTGTATTTTAATCAGATTGAAAAACACCCTACTTCATTGGCGACCGTAAACATAAATGCAGTACGTGAACTTTACCAGGGCTTTACCAGGGTGACAGACCAAAATAGTGGACGTTTCTAAGAAAGAGTATTATCGGCATACATAAACGGATAAATAATGAAACATAGCGAAATAGATTTGTGGCAATAATTTCCTGATACAGCAGGAAGATATTTTGATTTGTAACATACACAATATAAGACACTCTACTTTAATTTACTCCAATATAAGTCACTTACGTCATGTCATAAAACTGTTCAAATCCATTTAATGAGTCATATATACCACCATTTTTGCTTAACCACAGATCTTCAAAAACCGGCGGAGAACTATCAAAATCGACGGTGGTCCATTCTTCCTTGTATTGTGACATAATATCGTAAGCTCTGATAAAATACCGTAAAGTATCACCATCCTTCTTCGAAGGTTTGGTGATGGAATGTCCTCCATTTTGTACTATTTTAAAGGCCGATTCAAATCTTATTACACCTGAAGATATTTAATTTTTTCATAAAACACAGTTTTCTAGAATTTATATACCGAATCTTTCAATACCAGTAATTTTATTGGGGATTTAATAGGATAGATGATGTGGTTACAAGTGGAAACACATGTAGAGCTTAGGAGTAGTATGTATAATATCATTATGGTCCCGGCTCATGATGAAAAGTTGGGTGGAACTATGCAGTCCAATCAAGCGCACATTTAAAACGAAATTAAATGAAATGGGGATTAGCTTCCTACTGCTCTGCTCTGACCTGGCTAATTGAAGACGGGCATACCCCATACAGTGTGCTATGAGTGAATTTGGCCCGAGCAGCGGCGCTACGACCTACTCTTATATCGAATTTCACATGCCATGGGATCTTTTACGTGTATAAGGGGCCGCGGTTTTCTGCCTCATCCGAAAGACTATACATTGTCTCCTTACAGTCCCTCTATAATGCACCAATGACAACGGGGAACTGCGTCGGAAAATTCCGATGAACTTTCTCGGCCAACGCTGGGATCAAACCCGGAATCTGCAGGTTAGCGATCCAATGTATTTCTCACTGGGCCACCGTGGCTCCGCACCATTAACACGTACCACCAATACAGGACATTAAACTGTATATTTTTTCAATTCCGTGCCCCATACATTATAGAGGATGTTACATAAATAGACGATATTTACTTATTTTACACCGTAAATCAATGAATATTTCACTGTAATGTTTATTAGTGAAAAAAGAAATGCTTAATAAATAAAGGTTTTCATGCGCATAATGATTGACAGGGTCACCCACCGAACCAGTTTCTCACGCTTCTCTGTTGCCCCCCATATCCTGCTCTTTGAATTTTAAACCAACTTAATGTTTACTAGTCTTATTCTGTTTGCATAATTTATGCATTTCCCTATTTTGACACATATGTGTCACGAAATCCTACCTTGAACATTATCAACAGCTTGTGTTGTTCTAGATCCATCATTATCATCATATTGAGACTCTACACCAGGTTCAGATTTAACTGCTGCTAGAAACCGACCATTATGATGTACAGTGTTGATAAATCTATTAGTCCAACTGATTGTAACAGAATTTAAATTAGTCTGCCATTTGTAATTAGTAGAAGAAAGAGCAGACGTGGCTCTAAGAACACTTCCCTGTGTTGTGGTTACAGAAGACGAGTCATCAAATACAACCAATCGTCTGGCTTTCTTATAATTACCAGCTTTATCATAGGCTGATAAAATAACTGAATATACTGCTGTTTTAGGGAATGTAATATCTACACTTTTCTAAATACAAATAAAAGAAAATAACATTGACTATAATGCTACCACAGCTGGCAATGACATATAGAGGACACAACTATTATCTCATTGAAAACAAAATCGTTCGATTTACACCATCTCGTGAAAATCGGATAAAAACTTTCAGACAAAAATATTGCCTCTTCTCGTACGCAAATAGTTTAAAATTATGGTATTTCAAGGTTGTGGACCCTCCAGAGGTCCTCTCGATAATCGCGCATATCGGAGCGTAGCTTTTAATGGATTATGGTCCCTGATTGTTCGAAAAATCACTTGTGGACCCTTTAGAAGTGACAATTTGTATTTAATTTCAAAGCTACACCCCATTGAAGGTTGAATTCGATCTTCGTAAAAATCCGACCGAAACTGCCGGTCCACAAATATTCCAACAGTATGTAATACCAAGCTTGCGGACCTCTAGAAATCACAATTTTTATCCAATTTTGACGAAACCTGAAATGTATGCTTATAACGCAAAGATCTCCGTTCCTTTGGAACATACCGGACTGTAAATACCTGTATTATTGCCCCTGATTGTACGAAAAATTGTGTTCTTTACACCGAGGGGTAGAATTTATTCACTATTTGTTGATTTCACCAGGGCTTGTTACAGTATCAATAGTGAGTAGCCGTGAACACTTATGCTACAAAAAGAGGCAAATGGAAAGATGTTTATGGCCGTGATAAGTGTGTATTGAAAATTGCGTTCATGTGTGAAACTAGGGTCAAGAATTACTCCGTTTTTCGACTGCTTGTCTGGTGTTCTACAAGGATGTAAAATCAGTCCTCTACTTTTTTGTTATTATGTTAATCAGCTCGTTCAAATAATGGAAGATAGTGATGTCCAAGGAATATTCACAAACCAAGATGCACAAGATATTATAATGCTACTGTATGCAGATGACTTAAGTATCTTGTCATATTCTTTTGGAGACTTACATAGAAAAATAAACATTCTCCAAAGATTTTACAGTAATTTTAATTTATCAGTCAATTTATCAAAAACGAAAATGATAGTGTTCAGAAATGGTGGTTTTATACGTAATAATGAAGTGTTTTATTATGACAATGTTAAGATAGAGTGCGTTTCATGCTACAGTTACATGTGTTTGAATTTTCAAAAATCCACACATAGACATCAAAACAAACTTCATATAACACCTACATTCAACATTGGACCAATTTAACCAATTATGGTTAAAACTACTTTTGGGGGTAGGGTTAACTTCTGTTGACATTTGAATACCCTTAATCATGAATATGATGCATGGAATTATTAACGGTATTAAAGGAAACTTCTGGCCAATTATCTACAAAATTTGGTGTATGAGAGGTTGTCGGATTTTGAGCTACTTTCAAACTGAAAGTGATTTTTGATGCGAATTTGGCTTTTGGCTAAATAGTGTATTTTTCGGCTGAAAATGATAGTTTATGGCTTTGAACGACGTTTAAAAAATGTTAGTTATGTCTAAGCATGATAATTAAATGTGCCATTTAAATAAAATGCTGCCAGCTCTTGGATTATTCCAAGAAAACTGAATTTTGCTATTTTGGCCGATTTGGGTCAATTAGTCATTATCATTAATTTTGTTGGGCAGAAATAAATGAACTTGGTCTGGGAGTGTTACCTAGGTGTTTTCCAAGCGGCTCAACATATAGAACAGGAAACCCCAAAGTTTCACTGTAAAAAGAGAGCTGTATACAGCCCCCCCCCCATCCAGACCCAGGGTTATAGGTCCCATCCCATTCTGGAGAGGAGTCAACATCCTATTCCCCAATCCATATTCAAATTAAATAAAATATTGTTAAATATTGTTTATAAAAAAACCACAGCATCCAGCCCAGTTTGATCAAAGCACATAAACAATACAACAACACAGTGAATGGTTTGAAAATGGCCATTTATTAATATTATTATGTTAGTAAATGCAGAAGGACCACACTGCACGCAAAACAAACCTGGGGACAAGAGAAACTACAAAGACATTGCAAGAAATAAACAAATATCAAATCAAGTGAAGGGATCCGGTGAGGGGGGGGGGGGGGTAGCCGTAAGAGCCCACTGCGCTTTTTAATAAAGGACAAGGTATACAAATATATAATATGATTTTAATGAAATTTTAAATACAATAAACATGTATAATACCAATAGAAATTATCTCATACTGTATGGTTATCAAACAAAATGACACAATACTGCTGTAATATATGCTCAAACAACGTTACAAGAACCCCCCCCCCCCAATGCAAGAACAATGTTTTTATTTCACGCTATTTTATTATAAATAAAAACTTAATGACGGGGTATGCTTACCCTTTCCAGATCAATCATATCACTTCTCTTTTTTAGGAGTTCTAGCATTACCAATGTGTTTTTTTATACACATTATTTCCACTTTTGAATAAAATGTATTTGAAACTGTATATCTTGGTAACAGATAAACAGCAGGTTCAAGTTTCGGAATTCCTACCTTTTAATAACCTGTAGCCAAATTGTACCAAGAACATTTTACTGACTTTTAAACATTCAACGAGTTTGACTCACACTGTAAAATTCGACAAAGCGGATTTACCATATGACACGGGGAGCAGTTTTGATAGGTCCATGGTACATTTAAAACATTTTTTGGGAAATCTGTGTTTTGGTTTTCCCCTCATTAATACCTTTCCCTCTTTAGTAACGCCAACCTCTAAACCCGCGCAATGTATATGACCACATCCCCAATTGGAGGGTTTGGCTTGGTATTTGGCATAGAGTTCTTGATTGCATTTTGAGTTAGGCTTCCAGTGAGACTCGAAGTTTCCGCTCTTAGTTGTCATGTGAATGGCTCTAACAGTTTTTGTAATGTCGATGATCGTTGCGTTTACAGCACGAGCATAAGAAACAATCCACATTCCAATACCGATCCGACCAACAACCACATCTGGAATATATTTCCATGGAAATAATTTATTTGTAAAAAATCCGTCGGAGGATCCGTCAGTTAACGGTTGTCCTCGTTTCAAAATTTCAGTAAAATTGGACGACTTATTCAAAAGTGGACCTTGAGAAAAATCTACGTTTGTTCTCCGCACTAAAACCATAACTGGCTTTTCACGCACAAGATCACTTTTCATTAGAAATTTAATCGCAGTGGACATGCCATTGTCAAATGATATATCGCCGTTAGCGTATCCGTATAAGACACTGTCATGATGTTTCATGGCATCAAGAAACATGTCTCTGATAACAGGTATATTAGATTTACCGCATGCAGTATGAGATACCGGTAAAGTTAACCAACCATTTTTCTCCATTCTGTCACCAGTAGTTTTATTGCTGTAGAAAAATAACGGTTTTACCAACGGTTTCCAGAATTGCCAGGAGTTCATGACATTAGCGTGCACTAAAGACTTCTCCTCGTTATCAGTCCATGTTGTAAACATTATTAATCAAGTCTTTCCTGAAGTCGGTTCACTATCGACAATTTTCATGTCTTTTGAAGAAAGTACTTTTTTAGTATCCGTGTTCTTGGTGTTGTCATTCATCACTGAGTACGGTGCAGTTTGTGTTCGCTTGACATCGTTTACAAGCGATTTAATAAGTCCACTATCGGTTAAAATTTTTCTCGCGTAAGA